TTTAGGAGTGTACTCTTGTAACCAAGCAATTGAATCTCAGCCAATTACAGGCTGCAAACTGATTAGGCTCCATACATGCGTTATAAATGCCTCATCACATGTGAACCTGTAAGGCCAATGCCAACTGTACCAGTCATGTTGTTTTTAATGTCATGTCCATTCTTCTGCTTATAAATACAACCTGCATAGGTGATGGTGTGGGGTATTCTGGACTAATTATGGTCCAGAATGCTGCCTGGTTCAATAATTTTTTTTTTGTTCAAATGAACTTTGTTAAACTTAACTCATTCTAATTTCAATAAAGCTTATCTAAGTACACTTATTTTCTCTAAAGGCACATGGTAGTCTTCTTGTACTTATGCATAGTGGGCGTCACTTGACCACTACTATGCTTGGAGACCACTTTGAACTGTGGAATCACCACTAAAAAGCACAGACATGGGAGAGATGCAGTACTAAGTACAGAGCAATAACAAGTCTTTCACCTTACAGAGGTTATCTTGGCATACCCCAGAATTTTGCAGCTATAAACGCTCTATAGATACATCAGGCATCCAGTCAGGGTGCTTGTTTCCAGTAGAAAAGCTGAAACAAGAAAGCAGAACAGTGCCTTGTTCAACCTCAGCTGGGAAATCAAAACTTTTTTGGTACTTTTTTTCTTTTCTTTTCTTTCTTTCTTTCTTCCTTTTTTTTTTTTCAGAACCGGGGATTGAATTCAGACCTTTGCACTGTCCAGGGAAGCGTTTATTCCACTGAGCCATCTCCCTGGCCCCTTTTTTACTACTTTGTGCAGTGTCTATAAACTGTTGCAAAAGCTCTGAAGTATTGATGTAGGAGTTTCAAACAAATGTGAGCAAGTAGGAAAACTGGAAATTCAGAATCCAGGAATAATTAGGATGGCTAGAACTTTGTTGAAAAAAACTTCCAAAGTTATATGACAATGGCTGGGGAGAGGGTTTAAAACTCAAGTCTAATGGTGCCAAATCCTGGGCCCTAGCTCAGCCTTATTGAATCAAAATCTACACTTTAGGTTTCCTCTGGTGGTTATGTGCATATTCAAGTCTGCCAAGTACTGTCCTTCATAGCATCGTAGGTAGATCCCTGCTTGAGGGTAGAAGTTAAGCTGTACAAAGACTGGATGCCTGGTATATTTGTAGAGTTTATAGTTGCAAAATTCTGGGGCATGCTAGGATAACCTCTCTAAAGTTAAAAACATATTATTACTGAATAAATCATCCAGATATGCAGAAGCATGATTTGTCAAAAATGTGGAACATGGACCTGGGAAATAGTTCAGTGGTCTAAGAACCTGCCTGGAAAGTACAAGGACAAGGGTTCGATCCCTAGTACTGCATGCTATGCAGGCCCTAGGTGTCTAACTCACCACCACAACTGGGCATGGTGGCACATGTCTGTAATTCCAGCAATGGGAGGCTGAGACAGGAGGATCACTACGAGACCAAGCTGCATAGTGAAACCCTGTACCAAATAAATAAATGATTAAAAAAAATTTTTTTAAATGTGGAACAGGGACCTCCAAATAGCTCAGTAGACTAAAGTGTCTGCAAGCAGGCGTGGGGGCCAGAGTTCAATCCCCTGGCCTGCTGTGTCAGCCCTGCCCCTGCAGTGCGCTGAGATGGCAATTGAGACTGGGCATGGTAGTGCATACCTATAATCCCAGCTCTTGGGAGGCTGTGAACAGGCAGATCACTATGAGTCTGATCCAGTAGTGAGACCCTGAACACCCTGTAGGCCCTCTCCTAAAAAATAAAAATAAAAAAAATTTTTAAAATGTGGAACAATTCCAAAGAGAAATGCTTAGAATTAAGAGAATTAAGGTTACAGTCTTAGAGATGGAGAAGCAGACATAAATGAAAGAAAAATTGCTTTATGGGATTTTTCCTTTGATGAAAAGGAATTGTCAATGATGACTACAGAAATTTCCCCTCTGGGTAGCATGAACATTACTACACAGCGCTCAGGAAAGAGAATTCAGGGAGAGAGTAGATACAGTGGGAAAAAGATCATTTTATTATGCTGAACTTGTCTTTCTTGGGGAACTCCTACCTGTCTCACTCATGTTCTTTTGGCGACTGTGCTACCTTAGTGACATTTCCAATCCCTTGGCTCCTGTTTCTCAATCTGAAAGATTGATGCATTCAGTACTGTGACTTGGTAAATCTGGTAATATCCACATCATGATAAGCAGCTTTATCACTTGCATTATCACTTGAGTTGCAAGACAAGGCTCTCAATCAGAAGTAGGGACCAATGGCATTTCAGATGCTTTTTTTTTTTTTTTTTTTTTTTTTTGCTCCGAATGCCTTCAGGGCAGGTTTGGCTGGCTTGAGTTCTGGGGATCGAACCACAACAACCTGAGCCTGACTGCTTTGTTGAAGCAGCCCCTTAAAGAATGGAGCTAAGGGGCAGGCCCCCAAGATGCTAATTTTTTAGGGTACTTTAATCAATTTATTTATCTATAGTGCTATAGGTTGCTCTCCATTTGCTTTAATACAGCTTTTCCCACGGTGATTTAGGTATCTTCAAGCCAGTATAAACAGTTCATAAATACTTGATCCTCTGGGTATACATTTGCACAATACCACACATCTTTCAGCAAGAAAAACACTGAAAATAAAGCATAAAGACTGTACTAACTGGGTGCAGAAGGACTCTGGAATCTGCTCTAAGTAGTAATTTCTTTGAGGTGACGGCACCATATACCTGTTCAATTAACAAAACTATCTTTACAATTTAAGACTCTTTCTTTCTTTCTTTCTTTCTTTCTTTCTTTCTTTCTTTCTTTCTTTGTTTCTTTCTTTGTTTCTTTCTTTGTTTTTCTTTTTTCTTTTTCTTCATTTTCAGGCCATCCTAGTTATTATGCCAAAGGCCTAGAACACCTCTGCCACTCCTTAGGTGCTGAAAAGCAAAATGGCATCCCCAGCTTATGCCGTGAATTCATAGAGAATAGGTTCCAGCAGCTCCATCTCCTTCCCTTTGGTGCACATAAAGTTTGCTTCTCTGGGCAGAGGAGGTGGATTTCAGTAGAACCTGGTACCTTTCTCGTTGGCTTTCTCCTTTTCCTGATCACTTTTCTTGACACATTTTGACTATTAGAATGCTTACTTTAAATCTTTTGGGAAGTCTATTGGCCTTGTCTTGCTTGTTTATAGCAATGCCAACAGCATATTGGGTAATAGTCTAGCTCAATTTTGGTTATTATGGCTATTATTTGGTTAGTATTATCTGCCATGGTAACATTTGTGTGGCTTTCTTTTTTTATGTATTTAGTACAGGGTCTACAGGGTCTCATTATGCAGATCAGACTCATAGTGATCCTCCTGTTTTCAGCCTCTCAAGCGCTGGGATTACAGGTGTGTGCCACCATGCCCAATCTCAGTCACCATCTCAGTGCGCTCTGGGGGTGGGGCCAGCAAGCCTGCTGGAAATCAAACTGTGTCCCTGAACCTGCTTGAGCAGGTGCTTTAGCACGCTGAACTATTTGGCCGGCCCTTTTGTGGCATTCTTTTTTGAACAGTGTTCATTCCCTTTCTGTCTACAGTATCATGCTTTTTATAGCTTTACACATGTGGGCAAAGGACAACCTCAGGTTTTCTAAAAGGCCTAGAGAACACAGATCAGGTTTCTCTTCTCTTTCCTGGTGTTCATCTTTTTGGTAAATTACTGGAAGATGGTGGTTCTGCCCCAAAGGCTCCAGAGTCTAATTTTGAAATGGCTTTAAAAAAAAAAAAAAAAAGAAGTGGCTTGCTGTGAGAGGAATGTCCTTGCTCCTGAACCCAAGGGTCTACACTATGAATCTCCTATTAGTGCTTTCCTAAGACGTCACACAATATTTTTATCTGCCAGAGATAGCTCTCGCACCATTAGATTTTGCTGAGACAAAGGGCCAAATAGCAAGGCAAATTTGTCTTAGCATGTGCTCTCTTGTTCAAGGACTCTGCCAGACTAACAGCCTTCTGATAAAGTGTTGGAGCTGTCTTCCTAAAGGAGACATTTAAATGCTGCTTAAACGTCTTACGTGGTTTCCTGCTGCTTTCAGGATGAATCACAGGTGTCTCCTTAGGGTGGCTGCTGCTTATCTCTCTAGCATCACTTCTAGCTGACGTTCTTTTCTTTAGTAGGACATGTAGCCACAGTGCATTCACTGCTCTACGGAGCATCCTGGTCTCTACCTGACTACCATCTATTATCTCTCTCTCTCTCTCTTTTTTTTTTTTTTCAAAATTTTACTGATACCATCTATTATCTCTTAAGGGTTTAGTCTGCAAATCCATTTTTTCCAGAAAGCTTTGTCAACACTCTCTTCCCCTTCAGCTGTGCTTCTCTACCTGTAGATCCAACAAACCTCATGGTAGCACATACATACTACACTTTACTGTGACTCACTCTCTCGTCCACTTTTGCTATGCTAGAGTGAACTTAGTTTTGTCCCAACACAGCACAGTATAGACATTTTTTGTCTAGCAGATTACATATAGAAATATACATATCCCATTCTGAGATAGGAGATAAAGCCAAAGCATCACTGAACCCTTACAAAGGGAGCAACAGGGCCATTACTCAAGACGTCCTTCTCTGTGTGCCTTGCGCTGATTTGGTGACCTGGTCTCTCCCTTACAGAACACTATTTAGAGCAGCGCGCCCCCTCGCGGCGCTGGCAAACAATGCAGGAATAGAAGGTCGCTGGCGACCATGCGGTCCCCGGCTAGCACGTGGCGCATGCGTAGAATGCGGGCGCTGGAGGCTGGCTAGGGAAAGTCCAAGCTTGAGGGGGAGCGTTCTGTGGATTCACTGTTTTTCTGACAAAATATAAACACAGTCCCTATATAGTCTTATTTTTAGACATATTAATTTAAAATATTGGACCCGAGGTGTGGCGCTTCAGGGAGTGGTAAAGCAGCAAGAAGGTTGCGGTGCCCTTCGCCCTTCGGCACCCCTCCCGCCGGGCGGTGGGTTGGACGGTCCCCGATCTAGGCGCGCGGGGGCGGAAGCGGCGGCTGCTGTCAGAGCTGGAGAGGGGCCGGGTGCGGCGGCCATGGAGGGTCAGCGCTGGTTGCCGCTGGAGGCCAACCCTGAGGTGAGCGCGGCTGGGGTCCAAGCCTGGGGCCGCGGCAGGGGAGAGGGAGCCGGGACGCTGCCGCCGGTCGTGTCGGTACCTCCCTAAATGGTGCTTTCTGCTTCGTTTCAGGTTACCAACCAGGTGAGTGAGGCGCCTGTCGCCCCGGACCCCGGAGTCCTTTCTGTGCCCTCGGCCAGCTTCGGTGCGGGCCTTCGCCTTCGCTGGCCCACGGAGCCTGGAAGCCCCTGGGGCCGGGCTCCCGGCGGGGCCGCCCCGCGGGTCGTCGCCTGCCACCTGGCTCGGAGATGCTCGCCGCTGCCTCCGCCCCTCCCCGGGTGCCATCGCGCCGCCCCCCATCCCGGGGCCTCGGGGTCTGAGGTTTGAGGGACTCCCGCCTTGTGCACCTTTCTAATCTTCCCCGTCCGCTTCGCCTCCTGTTAGTACCAGATTCCATTATTTTCCTGTCCCCGGACCTTCTGGGTGACTAATTTACCAACACCCCAAGCGTTGTAAACTCGCCCACCCAGTCCAGGTAATCTCATCCACCGCCTGCTCTGTGAAATCATCTCGCAGTCATCTCCTGCTCCGGCGAGTCGCCTCTTTCCCCGCCACGCCCCCTTTCGTGTCCTGTCTCTCAAAACGGGGCATTTAGTTGCTTTTATGCCTCTGAACATTCAGCTTCATAGTGCCCACGCCGATCTTCACCGCCTGCCACTCTTAAAGTTCGTTTTGAGTAGTGGAGATTGCACCTGGAGCGGAAAGCGGGAACACCGTGTCGGCGCTTGAGTCAATGAATAAGTGCTATGAAGTGTATTTTGATTTCTCGGATATGTCTAGTCTTGTCTCATCCTGTTTCTTCATTTTCAGCAGGTCACTTTTATTGCCGTCCTAGTTATATGACAGACTTCCGTAAATCTTCCTTTTCATTCTTGAGGAGTTGGTATTTATTTATTTATTTATTTATTTGTGGAACCGGGGATTAAACTCGGGCCCTTGCGCTTGCCAGGCAAGCGCTTATTCTACTGAGCTGTTTCCCCAGCCCGAGGAGTTGGTTTTTATTTCAAAGTTTACAGCAAATTTCTTATGTAAAGAAGGTAGACTATCAATGTGAGGAGCAATCCCTTGCCTTATGGTTATTATATGCTCTTGAAGTGATTGTCATCCCCTTAGCTCCTTAGTAATCTAGAAAATTACAGAGCTTATTGTTTTTATTGTATTTATGAATAATCTTATTTTTCCCTCTTCAGAATTTGTTGTTCATTTTTTCCCCACCACAGCAGTTTGGTCATGCAAAAAAATCGTAAGGCTGAGGAAATCTGTATTTGTATGTTCTTGTTTACTGCCACAGAATACAAACATTTTTTTTTAGATCTAATCCACACCTGTTTTTAACACCTTTATAAATAGTCAGTTTACTATATGTCTGGCCTCTTCTGTTTTATTAGTGTATGTATCTGTTCTTTTACCAATGTATATATATATATATATTTTTTGGTGGAACCGGGGATTGAACTCAGACCCTTGAGCTTGCCAGGTTAGCACGTATTCTACTGAGCCATCTCCCTGGTCCCGACCATATTGTTTTGATTACTGTAGTTTTAGAGTCAGTCTTTAAATCACATAGTATAAATGCAACATATTTCTTTTTCAGTGTTGTTTATGCTGCTCTAATTTCTTTGTCAATTAGTTTGTCAATTTGTACAAAAGTTATGTTGTAATTTGGTGGTGAATCTGCCATCAAATTATTTTGATGGCATCTGTAGATACATTTTGGAGAAAAGGAATACCTGAACAATATGGAAATTTATAATCCATAAAGGAGGTACATGTTACCACTGATTTCTTTCATCTATGCTTCGTAGTTTCAGCATGTAGCTCATGGACATACTTTATTAGATGTATATCTGTGTAAAGATTTTTGGTGCCCTTGTAAGTGGTATTATTTTACACTTTCAATTTTGAGTTACTTGTTATATATAGAAATTCCAATTGATTTTTTAAATTTGCTGGCTTTGTATCTTTCTCTCCTGGTGCCTTGCTAAGTTTAGTTTTTTGGTTCTAGGGCTCTGACCACCTTTTCATAGATGTTGTGGGCTTTTCTTTATAGACAGTCATATTCTCTGTGAATAGATTTTTTTCCCCCTATTGTACTGGTTAGGAATTTAAATAGAAAGTTGAGTGAGATGGAGAGATTAACATCTTTGTCTTATTTCTGATCTGTGTGGGAAAACATTTACTCTTTTACTATTAAGTATAGGCATTTTGGTAGATATTATATATGTTTTAATCAGGCTAAGGAAGTTTGCGTTTTTTTCCTCCTTTGTTGAGATTTTTTAATTTTCTTAAGTGACTTTTCTACGTCTTTTTTTTTTTTTTTTTTTTGCGGAACTGGGGATTGAACTCAGGCCCTTGTGCTTGCCAGGCAAGCGCTTATTCTATTGAGCCATCTCCCCGGCCTCTATGTCTTTTAACATCACCATTTAAGGAAGAAACAATATTAATTCTACATAACATGAAAGAAGGAAGACAAATTCATTTTATGTGGGCAGCATCACCCTACCACCAACACTAGACATGCCATTCTAAGAAAAACTACCAATGAATCTGGATGTCAGAGTCTTCAATAAAATATTTACAAGTACAATCTGACAGTAAATTTAAAAAGGTTAATAGATCATGAACAAAAAATGCTTATCCTGATATTGCAAAACTGAGTACTTAAAATCATATGATTTAGACTAAAATAATTTTCTAAATGATACTTAATTGTTTTAATGCTATTCAAGCTTAGGTAGCTGCTACTGTTCCCAGGTGATCTTGGTACACTATGAAGTACATTCATTCATTCACATTAATTAACAATTTGAGGGCACCTTTTATTCTATTGTTTGAAAGGAACTGGTTATGCTTTGATGATTAAAATATTCTCTTTTTTTTCCTTTTCAGTCAAGTGGGAAGACAAACCATTAACAATTTTTATAAGTGCTATGAAAAAATTAAGATGTGAGGATAAAAATACAGTAGTTTGAATAGTAATAGTAGGCCTTTCTGAAGTGACATGAACAGAAAAGATGATTTGGTATATGATTGTGCACTATAGCTGTCAGGCTTTGGCATGCTTTAACTTTAAAAATTTTTCTTTATTAAAGAAATGATGTGCTTTTTGTGGGAGAATGGGATTATACATGCCCAAGAAGTGGTTAGTTTTAACCAAAATTTTTGTTTACTCTCTGTGTTCGATGCAAATCAGAGACTAGAAATGAACATTTAATTAACTGACTTAGGGGTTGGGAAATCAGTAAATCTCAATAACAATATCCATCCCCACCTGTGCTTACTTTTTAACTTAATGGAATCATAAGATCTACTTGGTCTTGATTTAGTTCTATTACCATCTGATATAGTTGCATAAATGGTTAGTTTGAACAAGTATTATTTTTGCTGTGTTTGTGCCTGGTATTATATAAGAATGACCATTATGTGTTTATTATATGCAAATTAGTATTGTTAAATATTATCCTGTAACTGTGTGTGTCACACTAGATGTTGTAAGCGATGACTTGTCTTATTGGTTAGTATGCTGTTAATCTTCTTAAAGTCTACCATGCTACAGGTTGAATTTATGTAGAAAAAAATCAGTAAAGTGATGAGAACATTTATTAAACATTTTTAGTTCACCTTTTTTAATAAGTGCAATTAAAAGTAAAAACAGCTTACAGTTGATAGGAATTTAGGGTTTTTTTTTCACAAATGCAATTAAAAGACTAAAGATCACTTGTAGCTGTTAGAAAGTTACTGTTAATTAAATATCAATCATAAGTTATTTAGATGTACAATCTATTATATGGGCAGTTACATATCTGTGACCATGCTAGATTTTCCACATTTTCTTTATTTGTCTATAGCTCAGCAATATTATATATATTAAATAGTGTTATGTTTTAGGACCAGTGGTTTTTAATATGGAAGCCTCCTAGAATTATTCTTTGTGATGGTTTTATTGTGGAGGTAACATTTTTTGGCATAAAATCCAAAGAAAAATAAATGTACGTTAGCATAATTATCCTATTTAGTGTGGCTACTTATTAGAAACCTGTATACTTTTACTACTTTTTTTTTTTTTTTTTTGGTGGAACCGGGGCCTGAACTCAGGCCCTTGCGCTTGCCAGGGAAGCACTTATTCCACTGAGCCATCTCCCCGGCCCTTTACTACTTCTTTAGCATCTCCATCAGAATGCCTTATGGATCCCTTAAGGATCTAGATTTTTCTTCTACCTTCCTCTAAACCTTTTTTTCCCCCTACTACTAGGGATTAAACCAAGGGCATTTGCACTGAACCACATCTCCTTCTCACCCCATCCGGACACCCTTTAATTTTTTTTTTTTTTTTTTTTGTGGAACCGGGGATTGAACTCAGGCCCTTGCACTTGCCAGGGAAGCGCTTATTCCACTGAGCCATCTCCTCGACCCACCCTTTAATTTTTTGAGACAGGGTCTCACGTTGTCTAGGCTGCGCTTGCATTTGTAACTTCTGTAATTTGGCTTCTCAAAGTGTTGGGTTACAGGTACACATGACTATGCCCATTTCTCCTCCAGTCTTTCAAAGGCACTGTCACCTATTCACTTTCAGTCAGTTTTAGTCTTCTGCCTGTGCTATTTCACAGAAGACACTGTGTACATACTTGATTTTTTGGGTTAAAATATACATTCTGCCTTATTCTGGTTCTGAGACCATGAGTAATTATCTAATCTCTTTGTACATATCTGAATTTCGTCATTTCTAACAATCTGTCCTAATACTGTAAGATTGTTGTAAGGGTTAAATAAATTGTTACATTAAAAATATGTACAACAGTGTCTGGCATAGTGTGCACTCCATGAATATTAGCTATTTTTTCTCTTTCCTCATATACAGTTGATCTGAAAGTCTTTTAGATTCTTCTATAATATGCCCTAAATCTGGTCATTCTTATTTGAGATGCCATAATTCAAGCTACTGTCACCCTTAGTTTGGACAAATAGCATTAGATTTCTAACTAGCTGAGGAGTTTTGCTTCTCTGCCTGCCTAAAACTTGAATAGTTGTACACAAATCACATCTTGGTGCCCCCCACCACATACTGGGGATTGATCTTGTGATTCTCTGCTTAAGACATTCAAGTGGTTCTCCAGTCCTTGTTCTTAGAGAATAATGCAAGCTTTTACTATGGTCAGATGAAGTGTGTTGGTCATTTCTGCTAGCACTGTGTTGCATGCTTGAATACCGAGCCAATTGCTGCTTCAGAGTCTATGTTTACTTACCCTTTGAATCATTCTACTGTAGGTTGCTTCATGGCTGCTTCTTTTGTGTCATCTATGGCTCAACTTCAAGTTACCTCCTCAGTGAGTCTTCTTTGATGACACAACTAGAGTGTCCCCTTAAATCTCTTGTCATCCTGTCTTATTTTCTTCATAATACTTCCTACCTTGTGAAATGATCTTGTTTGTTTACTTTTTTATGTTGGTTATCACTAGAATGTGAATTCTGTGAAAATAGGGACATGTCTAAAGTACCAAGAATGGTGCCTGGATTATTGGGGCCTCTCAGCTAATAGTTTTAAAGAATGAGCACAACTTATTCTGCTGCTTTTCTGCTCCAGAAAGTCTTTTTGAGGATTATCCTTAATGTGGTCATGAGTCTTTTACCTAAGTATTTTAGTGAAGAGTATCTATCTCAAAAGATGATTTTAAATTACAATGTTGAGAATAATTTATAGGCAAATTTCTTTTTACCAAAATAGTTTGTTTTCTCCTACCTTCTTCCAGTTGTTTGTCAGTCCTGTCATTAAAAACATATAGAGTAACTCTAATTGCTACATTTCAATATTACTAAGATATCTGGGGCCAAGGATTGCAATAATTAGTCTTCTCTGAACATGCCCATAATCTTCAGCTCTGTCTTCCAGAACCACATCGGTTCTGTATACCTTCCTTGGGGACCTCATTTCTTTGTCACTGGCCCTTATAATGCCTTCTAGAACTGCTACCAGAATCCATCCTGAATCATTTCTATTTGGTCCAGTGGCGTGTTACTACATTATTTTGAATGATACTTATTTTACAGTAGAATAACATTGCATCGCCTTTGTGGGTATAATTTGTCATCATTCCATGTTGAACCTACAGTAAACTTTTTCTTAATCCTCACATAAAAACGTTTTACTTTCCCTATTCTGGATTCCAATCTTTTTGTCTTATTTTTTATTCACTGATTAGAATTCATTTTTGCTAGTTTCCAAGTTATAATTTCTCATTTTTATTCTACTCCTAAACCTAGCAATTATTACTAGTGTACTCTTCTGATAGTAATATAAAACATTTAGAAAAGTATAATTTCTGTCATACTTCAAATAATAAATTAATAAGAAGATAGGATTTATGACGGCCCTGAGCTAACCATTAAAGATCACAGCAGCTGGAGGAGAGGTGGCTCAGTGGTAGAGAGTATGCTTAGCTAGGTTAGTTTCTAGCACCAAAAGAAAAGAGAACAGAAAAAAGAAAAACATAAAAAGACCACAGAAAGTGGCTTTAGAGCAAGTTTAAAAGGAAAATTAATTTTGAGTTTCTTTTTTTGTGTGTTTTTGTTGTTTGAATTCAATCTAAAAAAATGAAGAATTTGTTGTAAGTTAAAGATAGGAACTTTTTTTTTTTTTTCCATAATGAAGTCTAGCTTGTATGTAAGAAAGCCTAGAAGGAGTTGATAGTTGTAGACCCTTTTAGAACCACAGAGTTTATTTATAAAGTTTATTGAAAGTTCTTTTATGGCTACGTACAATTTATAAGTGATAGCTGTCCATGGGTAGAAATTTTAGAGGCATTATGAAAGTGAACTAATCAGTATGTTTTGGTTTAGGTACTTTATTTCCTAGGACTTAAACTTGAAAAACCAGAAGACTAGTATTGATGATCATAAGTCTTTTTCTTGCTTGATATAAACAGGGAACTTCTAGTTGTGTGCCATCTGTACAAAAGAATTATCCATACATAATATTTTTGTGAATAGTCTGGAGTATTGCAAGGTACTATATAGATTTAAGACTCAAAAAATTCATTTTGTCCTCCCATTTTATCAGTACAAATAAAAATACATATGTATCAGTTTTGTTTTATAACCTAAAGGTTATATGCAGTTATTGTACAGATAACATAGTTTTAAAATGTTAGAAAACAAAAAGTTGAGTTCACACCACCCAAATTAACTGCAGTTTACATTTCAGAAAAGTTTTTTCTTATCTTGCTCAGATTTTCATATGATCTTTTAATTTTAAACACAATTATAGAAAGTAGAAATTTTTGTAAGTCACTTTTTTAAAAAAGTGAGGTAAATGAAAGATTCATGTGTTTCACTTCCCAGAGATACTCTTAATTAGTGCTTTCATTCTTTGAATGCATACAATGACTTCCAATGAGTTTGACTCATGGATGGCTATGAGAAAATGTAGCTAATTTACATAGATATTAATTGATCAGACTTCTTTATAACTATCTTATTTGATTTGTGGTAGTAAAAAGTTAAACTATTCTTATTAAATGTCATGATTTTATGATTTAATTTAATGTGGTATGTAATCATTCTTTGCGTCCTCAGTTTGACATTTCAGTCTCACTATAGTCTCAACCTTTGAATCTTGGTACTTAAGACATGTTAGCCTTGGCAAGCATAGCGTAGATTTGCAAGGGAGTCCCTGTGTAGTAACTTAGAAGTTTTGGGGCTGGGAAGATAGCTCGGTGGTCTAAGCACCTGCCTGGCAAGCTCAAGGCCCAAGTTTGATCTCCAGTACCACAGGATGTGCCAGCCCCATGTGCCAATCTGACCACTGAAAGGAACAGAAAAATGGAAAACATAAAAAGACCACAGAAAGTGGCTTTAGAACAAGTTTGCCTTATTTTTTATTCAGTGATTAGAATTCATTTTGGTTAGTTTCCAAGTTATAATTTCTCATTTTTTATTCTACTTCTTTACCTAGCAAATACATGGTGGTGCACGCTTGTAATCCCAGCGCTGGGGAGGCTGAGACAGGAATATCACTATGAGTCTGAGCTGTGTAG